AAAGTACATCAGGAAAGAGACCTCTTTGATCCTTCTGGTTTATCATTGTTCTGGTAGGCATAACACCCCCTTATTGACCTGATAGCTGATATGGATATCCAAACTCAGATGACGAATTGAACCAAGGCGCCGCACAACTTGCTAAAACATACGATCCAGAGGAACAGCGCACTATTGGTAAGATTTATCGAAACCATGATTACTGGCAAATGCTGATAAGACCTAGTCGTATTGACAAAGCCTGATTTGCTGTCAGGGAACGCAGATCCAGAGCAGAACAATCCCGAAGCAGTAGCGTATTGGCAGGAGAGGGTGCGAAACTCGGCCAATTGTTTCTGCGTTCGGCAACCAGGACGAAGTAATACGGGCCTGCATTGGACAGATGCCCGAAGGCAAGAGACGATATTTTTTGAAACGCATTGGTATTCTCTATTCAACGATCCGATAACACGTAATCGATTGGGTACGGACAATTTGAGGGAATATTTGGCTACCCGTCTATACGAATGGATCCTGAAAAGGTGAGGGGCAAATCAACACTACCAATCTTCCGAAAGCCGCGATATACATCACTGATACGTGTTATCGTAGACTTCCAGATCTTCAAAAGAAAGCAAGGTTGCGATTACACCAGATGGAGGTAGAATTGGAAAGCCTGCCCAAACCAGTCGACAATCCTATCAGATACATGGATAACTTGATATGGGAATTCAACAGAAAGATTGAGCAAGCCACCGATATCCACAAGTTTCACAACCCACCACTCGCTCAAGCCTGTCGTGTGCGGTTGGAGGAGTTTGACGATACACTAGTGTATCAACTTCACCCCCGCTTTCGCCCGTTCTCTCGGGAAGTATCAAGAAAAGGTGCTATGAAAGACTATCGAGAAGAACATGCCACCCCAGCAGAAGTCCCACAAATGAGCCGGAACATCCAAGTTCCCGAGCCCGTCTATCTAGAAGAGGTGATGGCGAGATCCAAGTACGTCTCTCTTCTTGTCTGTATTGAAATTTCACCTTAAAGGGTCATCCCTTTCAGTGAAAGAGGAAGGGAGGTTCCAGGGAACTATCCTTATGGAGTCAAGAAGGACCTAATGGAAAAGTCAATCTCCATGTGGCGAAAGGAAACGGATGAGATGCTAGACGATATTTCCCAAATGATTTCATCCACATTGCAGAATATCATCTCTGAATACTTTGGGCCGTACAAAGCGAGCGGACTCGAGGATATAGTTTCGTCAGTAACTGCCCACCCACGAGAATATTTATGCTGAAATTCTTTAATAGAGGAACGGTCCAGAATCATATACAGACATTATACAGCGAAGCACGAAGCGCGCTTCTAGCATCTCAAGAAAGGGAGAGTGTCAACTCTGCGATTTTCGGGCGCGCAGAATTCAAGGCTTTCTACAAATTCTATCTCGAACACTACCTCTCTGGATTCAAATTCATCGAAGATGAAAATGAGTCAAATGGAAACGAAGTAAATCCA